CCCCCCCCCCCCCCCCCCCCCCCCCCCCCCCCCCCCCCCCCCCCCCCCCCCCCCCCCCCCCCCCCCCCCCCCCCCCCCCCCCCCCCCCCCCCCCCCCCCCCCCCCCCCCCCCCCCCCAATTTTATGTTTTTCAGTATATTGATCCTAGTATCGTCATTTGTTGATCAAATTAACAAATTTGCTTTATTAAAACGATCAGCGCAAAACGCTCTACAAGGCAGAATACTTTTAAGTATTTTTGGAGACTTTTGTGTTTTTTGTGGCAGACTACCCATGGGAGTATCCTACTAATATTTTGATCAACTTCATCAACTTGAAACGGTACAAGATCAGTGTCACGATATTATTTGAACGTTCTGCGAAAGACTTCGGATTTATGTTTGGTGCAAGTGATGGGTATTAAAAAATTTTTAGTTTACGTTTTGTTCTTTCCGAGAATTGGTTCAGTTTTGATAAGAACAAACGTTCACTCTTCAAAAGCGGCGATTATGCTATCGCACCGAGAAACAATCACATAATTGCAATCAATCTTGCACTCAACAGCCGTCTTATGCAGACACGGCGCTTGTCTTATTCACCGACTTGATTTTAATCCAGACGCAGCGAGAGGAGTGCCTATGTAAAATGATGCAGTCGGATATGATCGACGAGAAGAAATACGTAGTGTTACAGAGTTATTTCACAATACAGTGGCGATATGTTGAATCCTGAACTTTTCTATAGTGCTACTATCGACGTAGACAAGTCTGACATGGCATACGTTATGCTGCATGACTCACCAGAGACGAACATAGAAAAGAGAAGAACCAAATCCAAGTGACGCATTGTGCATATATATAATATGAATAAGCAGAAGTAAGGCGCACGAAAAAACGGAAGACTGCGTTAGCTAGGACTCGAATAGTGTCATTTAAACATTAGAAGATGTATCGTATAAGATGACTGCTACACGTAACATCAATGAATGCACAATATCAGAGCAATCCGTACTTGGGTTGTTTGGGTGGAGCCCAAGTGTGCTGACCGCTATATTACTAACGCTAGATAAAAATTGTACAGAGCACAATTAGTTAATGTTTAGCTTACTTTCATCAAGTGCAGACAGTTTCAAGCGACCCGCGTGTTATAAAAACATTAGCTTTTAGAATCTTATGATCTTTTGCACATAGGCAAATACTAATTCACATTTAAAATCGGATCGACTATTTTCAAGGTCATTTTTTTCTTAAAAAACGAATCTAATCAAGCATTAGGGTGGGTGTGATTGTCTATGTAAATGGAGAATCTACACCCACACCCCAGTAATTCTTCTTAACTGACACGACACTCACAAAATATCTACCAATGATAGTGTATCAAATAATAATCAAAACTCTATGAATAGGAATGCTTACATTGTTAATAACGAGATTGGAAATCGCTGCGTCTATCAATTTGAGAAGGAGTCTGATTGAAGTGGTCGTCGAATTTATAAACAATGTACTTCTTCGTCTAACATTTTCATCTCCCGACGAGTCAGTGTATAAGTAGGAAAGAAATGAAATATTCTTGTCTATGTTGACTATGCAAGGGTGTTGGGTGTGGGTGGCTATGAAATATTTCTTTATCACGCCCACACCCACACCCACACCCTCAAGAAATTGAGACTGGCCCTAATATGATAAGTGATGCGAAGAATGATAATCGTCGGCCATTTGCACAGACTGGTGAGCTAAGTTAATATCGCGATGAAGTAGAAATATTGCTTATGGTTGGTTCAATATTTCGTCTCGAGATTCGTCGAGATGAGCCATTCGATGATACAAGAATATGTGTGGTTCGAATGAAATTATGTGGTGATGATAACAATGATCTGAAAGAATTGTATGATCACATAAAGAACGAAGACGAACGTAGAGAAGAAACGAATCGTATGACTCTTAACACAGCGATATGGAGGATGGACAAATTTGATCTTGCCGAAAAGTACTTTCGTAGATGTCTAAGTGAACTTCCATCGAATGATCCTTTACTTTCTGAATTGTATCAACGTCTCGGCCTGGTTGCTGACTCGAAAGGTGAGTATGATAGTAGCCTCGAATGGTAGGAGAAATCACTTGGCAAGCAGATGATAACTAGTTCATCCGATTATGTCAATATTGGCAACACACACAACAACGTCGGTAACGTTTATCGAAATAAAAGTGATTAGAATCAAGCCACTTTTAGCGTACAGTCAAGCTGTATCGTTGTTCAAAGAAGCAAACGATGAGAATCACCCGAAGATGGCCATGCTTTACAACAATATCGGCTACATCTACCAATTAGGGAAAGAATACATGAAAGCTCTTGACTTCTATGATCTGATACGAGCAAGTCCCACAAAACATGTACTACATGCACATCATTCGATGAGCGGGAGGACATTGCATATTTTTTTAGAGTTCATGGGGAATTGGAAAGAACATGAAAACGATGAAACGAATTCAAATAGATGATGCGTCAGAAAGAAGTACGTTCATGAAGTTTACTTAGAACACCCTTGTCGTTGCACTCGAAGCCACTCACTGTTGGGATGGAGGCAAAGGAAATCGATGGCATAGTTGGATCTATAATTATTTGGAAAAGGACGTCGACTATCGTTGCTGGTACTAGAAAAATTTTCGATTGTTGCTCGTGAATAGAAAATTCGAATAATCATGGCATTGTGTTACGTTCTCAATGTTCGATAGCTAATCACGTATAAATTCATCAATAATTATTTACATCATTCGTTTTGCCCGGATATTTTCCAGGAGAATTTCCTTGAATCATTGTGCATAAATGAAAGATAGTTCTAACAGACGAAGATTCTTGCTTGAATCACCTTCATTTATACTAATAATATTAATATAAGGAAATCTTTTTGCTTCTGAAGCAAAAAATCGATCAATCATTTTGTCTTCTTTAAAGCTGAGGGCGTGACTAAAACGTAGAGATGAATACAATAAAATATATAATGTGAAGAAATAAGCAAGACGAATACGATGGATCAGAAATGCAAACAAAATATACAACATCTTATGAAAATTGTTCATTTTATAGATAACAGTGTTCACCCTAACATTGATATACTCATAGTACTCTGAGCAATATTTTATATCTATGCTCCAAAATTAACATACTTCACGATTCGATGTCTTCGATAACGAAAATACGGGTTGATCAAGTTCGATTTAATTTGCATCAGCTAACCACTTTTCAATTAATGATTTTGTTGAAAATTCGAACTCATCGTGAAAGTTGTTTTCGAAGAAAAAAATATCATATTCTTCAAAAAAAATTAAATTTCGAAACGAAAAATATTTACAATTGAATTGTAATATTTCTTGATTCTGCTCGATATGTATGACTTATAAAGTCGCGTATGGCGAATTTGCTTAAACTTGAAGATAAAGTTGATGCTTTAATACATGTTTCTAAAGTAGAATCACTGATACGAAATCTAGACGAGATAAAAATATATACTGATTTAATAAATGACGATGATCATGTAGTAAAACATATTAAATCACACAGTACTACTGTGTTGTTGTTTTTTAAATCTTAATTCTCATCCCCTCTTGTAAAAGTATGCAGTTAAAACGTGCTAGAATATAATTATATTATTAAGAATAACTTCTAGCACGAAGAGCTCAATTTTCAGCTGCACGCTCACCAATGAATACATTATGCAATCGAGAAGAAAAAGAAACGTTCTCTTTGATCTTTACCGCTTTATATTGTAATCGAACTATCATGAAAAGAGTAAATCATCAACGATAACGAAAATTAGTGTCACAAAAAAACACTTCTTCTCTGATGGATACAATGTACATACAATACAAAATGTATTTATAGTTGATTATGACGATAATCAAAGTATTTTTTAAGAGATACGTTATTTAAAAATAAAATACGTATAAAAACCCTTTAAAGTTTATATTTCATCAAAATGTTTTTCTAGCAGAAAGGATTGAAATTTAGGGTGGGATAGCCCCCCCCCCCTTCCATATCGGCAAGTCTGATTGCATGCCTAAAAATATTTCTTTGATGGCCGAGGTGAGAAAAAAACGTTTTTTTATACATAATGGATTGTATTGAATATGGCAGTTGTGCAATACGCATGCCAAACGAAAAATATTTGTCTCTTTTTTTTTGTCGTATAATTGATATCATCTTTAGGTAAACAACAATCAAAACATATGTTATTTTTTCCAGTTCAAAATTTCATATATCAGATCATATCTGATTCATCAGAGTAGTTCTTTTCAGCTCTATAATCGGCCAAACTGCGTAAATGATTATTTTTATATTGCCGATTTCGATCTGTTCTTCTCGATACGAACATTAAAAAAACTTGGTTTTCTCTCACCTGTTTTTGTAATGTTCTATCATCAAATATCTATTAATAACTGGCTATTCATATGTTTATTACCACGAAACACAATATAGAAAGAGAAACTCAGAGTCATACCGTCATTTTTCGAAATTTTATCTTCGCCGTCAATACAAATATCAGCTACTATGGGCAACACAAAAGCCAAGCCAACTGCAACCGAATTGACTCTACAACGTTTGTTTATTGAAAAATTAACTTGATAAATCTATTTTCTCATCGTTTCTTTTTCTAGAAATAAATCTGCTCAGAGCAAATACCAATTTTACTGACTATGGCCAGTGAATTTTGTCAGAATTATAGTGATAATGAATACCTGCCTTTCATTGATCCTACATAGAAATTTCGCAATGATATCAAGTAAGTTTAATTAGCAATACTTATTTGTTGAAATGTTAAATGCAATTTTTCCATAGGTTTTTATTCGTGATTGCCCTAATGGTCGATTGGATAAAAAGAAATTTCAGGAAGTTTACGCTAAATTTTATCCTCAAGGTGATCAACTTTCATTCGCATTTGATTTGTAAGTTTTTTTCTTTTTCTCTAAGTTTTACTATATAAATATTTTATTCAAATATAGATACGATATTTCTGATGATGGACTAATCGATCAAACGGAATTGGTTAAAATGATTACAGCTTTAGGAATTTTTCATGATGAGATTTTTGTTTTCGTACAGAAATGATTCTATTTTGTTTTTTAGTATGAACTCAATGGTGGCATACATGATCGAACTGGAGATCATAATCCAAAGACACGCGCTGCTGAGATCATTGCTAGTCTTGATGTTAGTGGAGACAAAAAATTATGCAAAGAAGAATTTATTTCTGGGTTTGCTTTCTGGTACCTTTTGTTTTAGTGCTATTTTTTTTGTTTCTGTTGAATTAGGTGCAAGAGCGATCCTTATCTTCGTGAAATTTTTGCTCCTAACGTTTAAAGCAAACAATTACAATAGAACTCATAAGTAGATAAAATATTAAGGTCCCATATGAATATTATATTTTTTTAAAACACAAATTTTGCTTGAAAATCAGTGAATAGGATACAGTTAAATAAAGCATTTTAGTAGATTATATTTTCTTTTTCTTATTCATTCATTTATTTATTTATGCTGACTGTGATGATAAGTAAATGTAAATGATTCGTGAATAATGTTTTTAAAGGTCAAAGGATGAATAAGCATTGGTGATGATAGCAAATGCACATAGAGATATTTTATGTTGTAACACACTTCGCTTTACGTACAGAAATTCGATATTTGTATAACTTCTCGGGTTAAAGCAACGATTGAATAAGGGGCGATTTATATCAACATCAACTGAAAATAAGAAATAAAGTTTTCTTCGTGGCAAACAATGTGAGGACAATATTTGATAACTATAGGTCGAATCTGATTGGTTGCTATTTTAATCGAGAATATTGGTTCGAAAATTAAAACTAGAAGCATACTAGTAGAGTTGATGCGCGTATGTCATAATGTGGTTCGCATGGCATAAAAAGGGTGACCAGGAATAAATAAATACTATTGACTTGTACCAGCTCACATTATGCTTGATGACACAAGTGTTTGAATATAGTACCTCGCGGATAGTTGCTGAATTATATAAACAATCAGGCGTGATTATCATCATGCTAATAATAAATTTCGCATTTTAATATCAAAGATCGAAATTTATCTTGAGATTCGACGATATTTACTCAAGTCAAAGGAGATTTTATTCTTTTTTATTTATTTGAACATACAGTTAAGAACAACATCAAAGATTAGTTTGTCTGTTGGCTTGGCCTCAACTATTCCGTTATTAAAACCTTTTCTATCAGCAATTCGATCCTAACATTTACTTAATATGTTGAATTTTTGTTTTGAAAGAGAAGCTTTTGATTGGTTGTATTTTAATTTATTGTTATAGTCGGTATATTTAACAGAAACTTCAATGTTCGTTTATGAATGAGGTCTTACCTTGAAATCAAAACCTCGCGTTTATTTTTTTGTTAGTCAAGGCATCCGGCAAAGAAATAAAAGTGACATTACATCAAAAGCACAGAGGGGGGGGGGGGGGGGCCCTTTTTTGTTTTCATTGGT